GATTGTGTGACTCCACAAGTAGACGTTTCCTTGTTTGGATCGTTGTCCTTGCTTGCTGTCCTGGGCGTTTTAATTTCCCCCCGGTGAAGGAGGCACAGCAGTGACCTCCTCTAGAGAAGCCTCCTTGACCGTGAGCTGGATAGAAATTGGCGGAGCTTCCAGATACGCTTCTGAGGTTGCTGTGTTTTGTAGGGCCTCAAGCCTGAAGCCGGCTTTCTACGTGCTTTCTGTGCTGAGAGAAGCCTTCAAGATTCTTTCTGATGCCCCAGACCCCGAGGAGACGTTCCTGCAACTGGACAAGACTGACTGGACTTACTCCGGGCCACTCTTGCCTTCTGGCTCCCCCAGAGCCAAGCGCCAGAAGATACATAATGTTGCTGTCCAATGTGAGGTCAACCCGAAGGCGAACGGCTCCCCGTCCTCTCTAGGTGACATGCAGGTTGGAAAAGAGAAGCATTTCAAGCATTCCCCTGCAAGGCCTTTGGCCATGAAGCCCCTTATGACTTTGGAGGTCCAGTCATCAGAGTGTGAAGAGATCCTTCCAAATGCCTTGCCCCCAGGTTCCAGGTATGGAGGACTCCGTTTGGGTCTCTTTTAGGAGTGGTGGCAAAGCTGCAGTCTTGGAAATGCCGGCACTGAGTGCCTGTTCTTGCAGATCTCCTGGGGAATTTGCAGGGTTTGGCCATCGCCACTTCCCTAAAGGGGGAGGGATGTGCCCAAGCAGAGCTATTCCACTTTGGCTGAGGATCAGGATGATTGAAGGAACTTATTTTTGAACTCCTGTTGTGATTTGGGATAAGAACAACTTCCCCTGGATGTTTGCACCTCTGTGGCTGAAAGCGTTTTGATGCTCTCAGAGCCCAGGAGGGGCTTACCTGTAACGGGGATTTCTTTTCTGCTTCAGGAAGGCCAAGCAAGCAGCTCTTTCGGTTCTGCAGGAAGAGAAGGAATCCTGGAGCGATGAGGACGAGATCTTCATGGACCAGCGTGAGTGGAGGCTTCTGGGAAGAGCTGGGCCTTGTGGGTCTCAAGTTTGGAGCCTCAGCCTTATTTCCTCTAAGCCAGCAAAAAGGCCGCCTTGGCCAGGAGCCGCCTGCTTATTGGGGAGAGTGTGGGGGAATGGAGGCTGCCAAAGGGGGACAGCTAAAGCCTTAGAGAGGCAGAAGGGGAGTCCTTCAAAGGAGTGGGGCAGCCTCTCTGCACCTGGAAGGCAACACTCATCTCTCTTGCGTTTCTGGTGGTGTGTTTTCCTGGCAAAACCACCTGAAATCCGAGTCAGGAAGGCAGAAGCACTGGGGCTGTGTATAGCAGAAATAATCCCCAGGTAAGAGTTGTGCCTTTCAACCTCTGCAAAGGTGCTAATTTCTTTTTCATTCTTTTCAGAATCAGAGTCGTCAGTTGGTACCAGCACTTCTGGCTCTAAGAAGAAGGTAAATGTAACCTAACCCAAGCAGAGACTTTTTTAAATAAGACAAATTGCTCATTTCGTCTTTCTAAAAATAATCGGACAATCTAGATCAGTGGTCACCAACCGGTGGGCCGTGATAAAATTTTGGTGGGCCGCAGAGAAATGTCCCCCCAAAGAACCCCCCCCCCCAAAAGCCTGCCCACCCACTGGCTCCTACCCTTCGTTTGAGTGCAAACCTGCAAAAAGCAGCGCGCCCCATGCGGGGCAGGACGAGGTAATAGTGCTATTGCAGCAAGAGGGGGCTGGCGGCACAGGTGGGCTGAAGCGGCAATGGAGATGGCTGGAAGGTGCAAGAACGCTGCACTGTTGGCCTTTGTGCAGCACTCCCGCACCTTCCAGTTAGCCTCTCCTGGCCTGGACTCTTCCTCAATGGCCGCGGGCTGTAGGGACGGCCCGAGGCAGGAAAAGTACTGGCTGCTGGTGGTGGTGGGAGGGGGCGGAGTGGGCAAGTCTGCACTCACCATCCAGTTCAGAGGTCTGGAATGGGGCGGCGGGGGCGGCACCAGTTCCCTCGGCGCTCTGCTCTGCTGCCCCCCCTCCACGGCCCCAGCCATCGCTGTCCAGGGAAAGCACAAGAAAAGCAAGCAGCAGCATAGCTCTTGCTGGGGCTAAAGAGCTGAGATCGAGGAAGGCGCACGCAAGAGAAGGTGGAAGCTGCCGCCTTTGAAAAGTGCTCCTTTCTGTTGCCTGTGCCTTCCGATCTCTGCTCTTTCACCCCAGCGAGTGCTGTTTCTGCTTGCTTGCTTTTCCTTTGGGGCGGGGGCGGGGGGGGGCAGCAGAGATGTCAGGGCTGCTGTTCCCCCTCAGCAAGGCAGGCCTGGAGGAATGCGAAGGATTGCGAGCGCGTGCCGGGGAAAGGTGCGTTGGAAAAGGCAACACGTTTCCAGTGTGCTCTGCTCTGTCCCAAAGTAAGATTGAGTGGGGGGAAGGGTAGGAGGGAAGGAGAAGCCCGGCTGGCTTTCCTTTGGCATTGGATGGGGGCGGGGTGGGGGGGGAGAGACCAAATGCCCAGACCAAAAGAGCACTGAGGAAGACGGGCCAGCTTTTCTGGACTTGACATCCTCCCCCCCCCCCCCCTTCATCCTCCACCCAGGGAAGGATCCCTCTCTGCTTGGAAGCAGCGGGAGAAACCTGGAGCTTGGCGTCGGGGAGCCCTTCCTATGAGGCTGAAGTGGGGGGGGCGGGGGGGGGGGTGTTGCCTAGTTATTAGGAGCCCGGCCCTCCTTCCCTCCCCCAATTCCAGGCAGCCACACCTGGCAAAGGAGGGAGAGGTTTCTTCTGACTTGGGGGAGATACGAGATGGCGCTGCTTTTCTTCCTTTGAGGGGGAGCCGTGGCTTCTTAAATCCTCTTCCCCACCCCCCAGGATGAGAGAGGCCCCCATTTCCCTTGGCTCTGCCCCAGTTACGATTAAGCATTTACAATTTTGTTATAATTAAATAAGCATTTGTGTGTCTGTGTACAAAATAAAAATTATTTTTTAATATTAAATTTATATTTCATATAAAAAATAAAAATTTATATTAAATATATTGTTTTTTTAAAAAAATGTATTAGTGGTTCTTGGGATTTAAAATTACAAGTTTGGTGGTCCGAGGTCAAAAGGTTGGTGACCCCTGATCTAGATAGTTATTGCCACTGATAGGGCAGGAATGTGGGAAATGGTTGCTGAGGGGCTTCTCTGCTGTGGCCGCTGCAGTTTCAAGCCTTTTCAGCCTCCCGCAGAATTGGCAAAGCTAGTATCATCTCCACATAGACTAAGGTTTTGTTTTGGCCAATATAAAGTTAAAACTGTTATGGGTACATAGAGTTCCCTGGGAATCTTTTTCTTTTTCATTTTCTACATTTTTATTAATTTTTCTTCAGCAGGATTAAGCTGCAAATGAGGTTTGCCAATCTTGCTTATTCATGAGGTTTTCCATTATTTCTTTTGCAGTGGTCCTCAAAAGAGACTATGTGGATCAAGAAAGGTGTAGAGAAATTTGGGGAAGGAAACTGGAAAGTTATTTCTCAAAATTATCCTTTTAAGGATCGCACCCCTGTGATGATCAAGGACCGCTGGAGAACAATGAAAAAGTTGGAATTGAAGTGAATGTGAGGGCAGACTCTGCCTTAAATGTGTTGGGTTGTTGTGCTGTAGATGTGTTGAATTGACTGTTGCCATGCCTTTAATATGTTATGTACATTAAAGAATAAAACATTTTGTATTGAGTAATTTGCAGTATAAGGGCAGCTTGTTTTACAGCAATCGACATTAGTCAACAGCAAATTCAGCATCATAAAACAACTGCAGACCAACATAATCAAAGCAAGAGAATAAATGTCAAAACCTCATAGAGAATATGGCAGCGATTATGAAACCAACATAAAACCGGGCCTTCCAGCAAAAGGTTTGTGTGATGCGAGAGGGCTGGTCGATGTGCTTCACCTTCCCGCAAGAGGCCCGAGGGACCAGAGGGGAGGCGTCCCCCCCTTGCTGGCTGGATCTTATATCTGCTGGGAGGCTGCGGGTGTATCGTCCACTATGGAAAAGGGGTTCAAGCCGGAGCCCATCAAGATGGGCGGCACGTTGTTTTCTTCCTCCCGGGATACACAGGGGCTGAGTGGCATTTCCCAGGCCCTGCAGCAATGGGACACCGCTTGGCCCAGGATCGCCAGCGCTCGAGGAGGCCGCCTTCCCGGCTGAGGTCCACGCGCGGCCAGGCCAGGCGAGCGCCTTTGCGGAGGGTTCCCATCCCTGGGCTGAATGTGGGCGGGCCTTCCGCCCGGCGACCCTGGGGGGGGCAGGGGGGGGTCCGAGGCGGCCTCAGGCGCTCAGTGCGCTTGCGCCCCAGAGCCCCCGCGAAGCACTCTGGGAGAGGCGCTCCCGCGGCGGGAGGAGGAAAGCTTCCGGCCGGCCTTCCGGCGCGCGGGGGGCCTCGCTAGGGCGGGAATGGCCGCGGCGGCCGAGGAGGCGGCGGAGGCGCGCAGGATGGAGCTGGAGGCGGAGGCGAACCGCTGGGCCGTCCTCTTCTACGCCCACCAGGCCTTGCGGGCTTTCCGGGCCGGGAACAGCCAGGACTTTCGGGAGCTGCGCGACGTCCTCGCCGGTAGGCCCATCGCCCCGGGAGGCCGGTCGCGGGGGAGGCCGGCGGCGAGGGGTCAGCCGCGGGGATCCCGCCCAGACATCCGGGCGGGCTCCGGGGCCTGCGTGCGGGAGCGCTTGACCGCCTCTGCCTTGTTCCCCAGCCGTCCTGGCGCGGCCGGTGGCCCTGGAGGAGCCGCTCCGGATCCAGCTGCGGATTATCCAGATCCTGTCCAGGCTGGAGGAAGGTGAGCGGGGGCGCAGCCCCTCTTTGCCCGGGAACGCTGGGCCG